AGAGGTGGTGTGCAAGGTCATCATACAGGGTGTCCCAAAAAATCGACATCATTTAGAGTATCTGAGTAACTGCATGTCCTGGCAAACGAAATTAAACAGGCTTCATGTTGAACAACACAAGATTTATTTATCAATATTTGAACAAGAAATTCAGAGGGATGTAGCTTTATAATGATTTCACAGCTTCACAAATGTAATATCTTCTGATACTGGTGGTCGTCCAGACCCCTCTGTCCTGCACAGACAGCCTTCCTCTCTGAATTGTTTGTGCCGTGTCCAAATCTGCTGTCCAGTTGGTGCGTTTTTATTGAATTATCTGGAAAATGCTGCTGCGCACTCTCGTTTGACCGTGTTTGAGCAGATTCTAACACACAAAGTGCCTCTTAATTTCTAGTGAACGCCGTTCTTCACCCTGAAAAACATTAAAAATTAAACTTAGTTAGTTTTTACACACTTTGTTAAAATTCGAGATCATTTGAGGGAGAATTGGCTGTTATTAGACTATGAAATGATGTCAGTTTTTTTGGGACACCCTGCATAACAGATCTAACTGGCCGAGTGATGGACAGATGTTATAAATGCTTTACTTTCTGCATATGAAGAGCTTCATTCCATAAAGCTGTATCTCCATTTGACACAGTTTGAATGTAACAAGGTTGTGAAAAGAATAAGAGCTGATGTACAGCGGAAAACGTAGTATGATTAAAATGTATCTTGGCATTTCTTGTGTGTGTGAAGCCCACGGCCATCAATGCCTCATGAAAAGAACAAAATCTTGAAAATGGTCGATAACATATTTTTCTCCTCCATGTTTCTACACTCTCTGTCCATTTTATCAGCTCCACTGACCATACAGTGTTAGTGGTTGGTGCTGTGTTAGTGTGCGTTGCGCTGGTGCGAGTGGATCAGACACGCAGTTTTTGGCGCTCATCCTTTTTATTTGTGGAATATTGAAACTAGTTTCAGAATTCCAGCATTATAATCATGCAGAGCACATGATGGATCTTCATGGGTTAGTAAAGAAAATGGTTCTGTATAGAACTGTGAACATTCAAAGAACTCTTTCCATGATGAAAGGATTCTTCAGATTGATGGAGAATGTGCTGTAGATGGTTCTATATAGAACCTTTTTGAAAGGGATTTATATAGCACCAAAACTGGTTCTTCTATTGGTATGATTTCAGGCTTGTTACAGTAGAAGAACCCTTTTTGTTTCTATATAGAACTTTTTTCAAAGCAGTTCTATATACAACCATAAAAACAACACATTCTCCATAAGTCTGAAGAACAATTTCATCATGCAGAGAACAATTTAAGGATAAAATCATTCTAGAAGTCTTTACAAAAGAACCCTTGAAGAACCATCTTTTTAAAGTGGGTGTAATTGTGAATCATTGTTGAAGTTTCCAGAATGTTCTCCTTCATTCAGACTGATTCTTCAATGATTCTATTTAGAACCGTGAGTTCTATTTAGAACTGTTTCAAGCTAAAAAGGTTCTTTGCATGGTGAAGTGTTTCTGGTGAAATGTGTTGATGTGGTTTTTGAAAATGTTTCTATGTACTAAATATGTTCTTCTATTGGTATGATTTTACAGTAGAAGAACCCTTTTTGGTACTATACAGAACCATATAAAGCTTGTTCTCAATCAATCTGAAGAACCCATTTCATGACACAAAGAACCCTTTAATCATGGAAAGTGTTCTTTCTATGTTCTACATAGAACAAAGAACCCTTGAAGAACCATAATGTATGTGTGTATATCTGTCTCGTTCTTTCCTCGTGTGTATATTTATCCCTCTCAGCAGGTTCACGTCTCTCTGGTTCTGCAGGTGCTTCCTCCGTGCTGCAGTCTCCGGACGGGAACTGGATCGCCCTGCAGAGCTCCCAGCACTCGCGGCCCAGCCTGCTGACCAAGCGGAAGAGCCTGGTGTTCAGCGTGCTGGAGAAGGAGTCGGGCGTGGTGTCGGCGTACGACGAGATGGGCTCGGACTCGGACGCCGAGGACCAGAGCGGCTGGGGGGTCGCGCTACTGCAGTTCCGCAGACGCCTCTCGGACGAGTCGTACTACACGGACTCCCAGCACGACCCGGAGTGGACGTACGCCCGCCACCACCCAGCCATCACTTCACCCTCCTCGGGCCAGTACACCAACACGGAAACCCTCAACTCGGATTCAGAGGCGTCTACAGCGCCCCCTACCCGACTGCGCAGGCCCACGCATAACGTCCACCAGCGGAAAAAAGGGCCTACCGAACGTCACCTGCCGTACATGCCCTATGCGCCCTATAGACGCCCACCTGACCTCACAGCCCCGCCTCCGCTAAGGTCCGACACCTTGGATGTGAACTTTAACCCCCGGGTGGGCGGGGACAGCAGCGAGGGGGAGGAGCGAAGCAGCGAGCAGATCAGAAGGTCTCGGCGGCGGAGGCGGAGCAAGCGCGAGTTGGCCGAGCAGAGCCACAGAGCGCATAACGCTTTATACAGCAGTGCTACAGCGGTGAGAGAAACAGCCCGTCTCACACTCGTTACATAGCACTGATTACAAACATCTGCTTAGTGCTTAGACTTCATAGTCATTTTGGCCCTGTTTACACTTGGTTTACACATCCAATCACTGAGAGCCAATCATCTGAATCATCATCCAATCAGGACCCAGCACAGTCGCACTTTTCCAATGTAGCTTCAACACTCAGATATCGATCAAACCTAATTTCCCTGCACATTATTTATATTTTTAACCCCTTAAAATCTCATACTAAGTCTTATTATTCAGTAGCTATAGGGACTTCAGTGCAAACTGGCCGAGCTATTCTTAGGTTACAGGTGTGTAATAAAACCGTGGGCCTACCTTTGGGCCCGGGTCGTTTAAGAGATTAAAAATCGAGCTGATGTGGTTCTGGAGCTGAGTAGGCACAACCTACACAGGCTTCACTGAGTTTAAGGCTTTCTAAACATTTTGCATTCATTGTGCACATAATTTCAGGCATTTTAAACTTATAGTTTCACAAAAAACAATCAAAACACAAAGTTTTCCACTTTGCCCAGATGTAGTCGATCAGCCAGCACACTTTGGTCTCCAGATTTGCTGCTTTAGTTCAGCGCTGGAGATACAAGGTAAATGTTGCTAGCAAACACTAGAACTCAATAGTCACCTAAAACGTCTCTCAGTCCACTCAAACCACATCCAGATCTTCATTAAAGTTTGTGCAGACCTGTTGTCTAGAGTGGGGTTTCTCAACCTGTGGGCCGCGGACCACCTGTGGGCCGCGGACCACCAGTGGCCCATGAAGCGCCCTCTAGTGGTTCACAGGCTGGTATTCAGAAGGAGGCAGTAATTTGTAGTGAGCCAGAGATGGAGAGGTTTCTCAGGAGGCTTTGATTAGTGTGGACACATCACACCTTTTCATTAGTTTGCTCCTTTTTGACGTGTGTAAACACTCCACCCACATTCGGGTCTGCAACAAACAGCTGAACCAGTCTGGCGAAAAACCACAGGTCTCGGTCCTCTTCAAACCGAACCGTGTCCAGTTCACTGCTGATGGAAACGCTCTGTGGTCAAACGAGGGAATTCAGTAGAGTTGGCTCTCCTTCTCTTCTAGAGGCACGACGGCGCCGTACAGTCAGCATAGCGACTGTTTTAACTACTGACTCTTTACAGACACTCAGCATGAGCTGCTGTTAAAAGCAATGGATGAACCACAAGTAATGCATTTGATTTCAATTCATGGATCGCAGAGCGTATATTTGGCCGAGCGTCAGTGAGCTGAGTGGATAAACTCAAATTGCTAAACCAAAGAAGCAGATTTATCATTATTGTTGATTGTGACGCCGCTAATCCCAAAGCCCTGTGAGTCGGGTGTGGTTTCAGATAAATCACAAAAACCCTCAAAACTAGAGAGACATCCCGAGACCAAACACTTACTTTTTTGGGAAGCCAGTTGAGTTTTTTTCAGGGAAAATGCCACAGACTGCAGCTCCACATCACATCTACCTCGTACATTTCTATTCTCTCCCCCTCCCACTGTTTTAACGTAACTACAACCATTTTTTTTTCTTTTTTAGGTTTTTTAACATGCCTGCAAATTTTGCAAACCTGATGACAACTAGAGAGGCTGGTTTGATCTTTTCAGGCCTTAATTCTCAGGTTTTTAGAGTCAGCGTTTGAGAAAAGAAAAATGAAGGATGGAAAAGGTTGAGAACCCCTGGTGTAGAGCACAGTATGACTTACCAAATAAATAAACCCTCACCGAGTAGCTGAATACGGAGCCCCTGAAGGGACATGGTGTGTTTTTTTTTTAGGTAAAAGGAACATGGTGTATTTTTTTTCTTAAGGTAAATATCTGGTGCGCACCAGATACTATCAGGTGAGCACCCAGTACTATCAAGTGAGCACCAGATACTGTGTGGTGAGCACCCGATACAATCAGGTGAGCACCAGATACTATGGTGAGGAAAAAAAAGTGTGTGTGCGTGTGTGCGTGTGTGTGTGTGTGTGTGTGTGTGTGTGTGTGTGTGTGTGCGCATCTGCATATCCATAAACTGTGTCAGTGTTCATTGGGCTCCATAGTATCATGACTTCGCAGACCACTACTCTGTACACCGGCTGTGCTTGTTATCCTTCGTCATTCCGTCATGGAAGAAGACATTTATGACTGTTTAGTGTCGACGGGTGGCACAAGAACAAATAAAGTCACTTAAAGATGATAAGGTAAGCTTATTTGTTCAGACAGCTATTAAAACCTTAATAATTTACCAGTGTGTCCCTTTCAAAGAGATATAGCTAAATGTAGGCTGCCTTTGCTATATACAGTTAGCTAGCTAACCTAGCTAGCTATAAGGCTTGCATTGTTCTCTACGCAATGCATGTTTTTGCATTAAAACTATACACACCCGCGATGAGCCAGTGGGCAAAATGTCTTCAAGTTTAAGTGACAAATAGAACTTTTGCTCCTCACAAAACGGATAAACGATTCCATTGGCTGGGTTACTTTCCATTTTGGAAAAGTGAAAGGAGCACAGACAGTTTCACCACCTCATTCGGCAGCTGGGACTTTTTACATAGTTTATAGCTAACTGTATACAGCAAAGGCAGCCTACATTTAGCTATATCTCTTTGAAAGGGACAAATAGGTAAATTATTATGGTTTTTATAGCTGACTGAACCAATAAACTTACCTTATCATCTTTAAGTAGCTTTATTTGTTCTTGTGCCACCTGTTGCTGGTGAACACCGACACTGGTTATGCATATGTGTATTTTTTTTTCTTACCACATAGTATCTGGTGCTCACTTGATAGTAGTGGGTGCTCACCTGATGGTGTTGAGTGCTCACCACATAGTATCAGGTGCTCACTAGATGATATTGGGTGCTTACCACAGAGTATCAGGTGCTCACTAGATGATATTGGGTGCTCACCACATAGTATCTGGTGCTCACTTGATAGTATCTGGTGCTCATGTGATAGTATCCAGTGCACACCAGATTTTTACCTAAAAAAAATAATACACCACGTCCCCTCAGGGGCTCCGTAGCTGAAGGCTAAGCTATTTCAGAGAACAGGCGCTGTAGGGAATTCAGGCTCCTCTTCGTGTGCCCACAATCCACACTACAGATTACCTTCACAGTCTCTGTTGTTTCTATTTATACATTTTGAATATTCAAACTGAAATATGTTTACTGGTATTTGTGAAGCTAGTCTAGCGTCCATATGACGTGCGTGGATGTGAAGGGGGGTCAGATTCGGCACATCATCTGTTTTTGTGCATTTTGACAGGACACAGTAACTCACACTGTGTCCTAAATTACATGGACAAGTCTGTTTGACCTTAGTGAAGGCCTGGATCTGGTTCGTGTGGGTTGAGAGACGTTTTGGGCATGGGAAAAGATTTGGGTGACTATTGACTTCTAGTTTTTGTAGGCAACGTTACCCTCAAAGCTCCAGCACTAAGCAAAGTTTGGACACCAAGCATGTCTTGGCTCATCTTCTGCATCTGGGAAAAGCAGAAAATTGTCAATTAGAACTTTCGCCAAACGTTCCCTTAAGAACAGTCGAAAGAAAAACCGAGGTTAAAATCAGACAGGCGTGGTGGGAGAGTTGTACACTGCCCCTCCCAGGTGGCAGATTACTTTTCAGCTTCCATGTTCATAAGCCTACCTTTCAGTACACATGCAGATCCCTAAACATAACTTGTTTAAGTTGTGGGTGGAGCAGGGACCCGGAAGGTCTTAAGTTCATTCATTCATTCATTCATTCATCATCTTAAACCGCGTAGTCCAGACCAGGGTCGTGGCAGCAGTTGGAAGAGCAAAGAATCCCAGACGACGAGAATCCAGCTCATTCTGGGAGACCCCTGAACTGCTCCTAGTGGGACGATCTCGGGGTCTCGTCCCAGCAGGCCGTACCTGGTAAACCCCCACCAGGAGGCGTCCAGGGGGCATCCGGATCAGATGCCCAAACCACCTCAACTGACTCCTCTCAATGTGGAGGAGTAACAGCTCTACTCTGAGCTCCTCCTGGATGACAGAGCTCCTCACGCTGCCAAGTAGAGTGTAGCAAAGCTCACTAATGGCTCAGCGGTACAGTGACCGCATTACTGCTACCACATGTCCCAGCCTGCGGCCGATCTCACCAGCCCTCTCCCCGTCACTCGTCAGCAAGACCCCAAGATACTTAAACTCCTCCACCTGGGGCAGGTCCTCTCCCCTCACCTGGAGTGGGCATGTCTTTAAAGTCATGTAATATAATCTGCCTTTTTTTTTATTTGGTTAGTTTTGGCAAATTTACATCAAACTGAGCAAGTCATATGGTGCTATATTAAGGCGAGGGATGACAATATATACATACAAGTGTCCCATCAGACCACTGACCCACATCATCCTTCTGATCTATAGTTCTCAGCAGCGAATGTGGTCAAACTGACTCTGTTGCCTTTACACATTCACACATACAGATCCAATCATAATCCAATCATAACCGACTAGTTCTGGGTCCAGACATCCAGACATGGGTCACATCTTAATGCCAAGTGTAAACACAGCCAGATATTATACTATTATTTAGAATCAGTGATGCTGAGTGGGTGTGGCATGGTGGCAAGTTTGGCATTTGATCTAAGAGCCAAAACCAGATCTGTGGTCGTATTATTGATGAATAGCAGGGTGTTTTTATAATAGTGGCCAATTAGTGAAATTGCATTGCAGCAGTGATAAAAGCCTTTTCTGTCATCAGCAGTCTCCATCATCCAGTGTCCGATGCAACACAACTCATAAACATGCTCTTACTTTAAATCGTTTAAAGCAGTGATTCTCCACATGAGACCTGGGATCTTTGTTGATTTTTCATTTTTACATTTCCGTTCTCTAAAACACTTTGGCTTGACAAACACATAAAAACATAAAGAAGAATAGATGAATAGTCGTTTGAATTGAGTATTTAGAGCATGAAGAATTAGTTCATGTCGTTTATAGGAGTCCTAATCCTTGTAAACAAGGACTGACTTTTTCACACCACCAGGTGGCAGCACAGGGTCAGTGTTTCTCTGTATAGTAATTATCCTTAGAAACAAAATTCTAGAGTGATGTCGGTCATGGTGTTAGATTGTCATGGCTTACAACACTTGTTGACAAGACGACCTAAAATCTGAGCAAAAATCAGTGTCTTGTTCTCTGTTTCTGTCTCTTGATTGGGTAGAGAGGGGTAAGAGACTAGAACTAAACTCTAAGGGAAAGTAGATTCGGTCAGCCCTGCACTTCATTCATAATGAATAATGCATTAAGCTTCATTCATTATGTTTGTATTAATGCATCATCTGAGGTCTGATATGCAAAGAACAGTAATAATTGCATGAGGTGCACTAATGCACAGTCAGCACTTTAAGACTTTGCTATGCAAATCGTTGAGTATGAATTGTCACCTAAGTTAATAAAATAAAATATTACCATAACACTAATAATGAGCCAGCCAGCGAACTATATTCTGGATCTATTTATTTCATACGGTTAATAAATTCTCTCACTGTCTCTAGGAGAACAGCGCTGTCCTGCTCAACGCTATGATGATGCGACGACAACAGAGCCAGGAGGCTCTGCCCCCTCTGCCCCTTCTCCACTACCAGACTCCAGACACTGTGACCCCACCTGACCTTCTGACCCCTGGTGCGATGACTCCTGAACCTGAGTACCAGGACACGGTGACCCCCAACTCCATGGCTGCCAGCCCACCCATGCTTAACCCACTAGGGGCCAGCAAACTAGGGCCCACCACTCAGGGCCTCAAGCTTAGGGCCTCATCTGTAAACGACACCATGGAGCAGGAACTGAGGTCTAAACTCTCCGAGCTGGTTGGTCAGATCAGCAGGGAGGATATGACGTCATCCGAAGACGAGCCCCTCAGGAAAGTCGGTGACAGAGAGCGGGAGAAAGAAAGTGAGAGGCTGAGGCAGAGAGAGAGGCCGAGCGAGGGACCCAAGGAGAGAATAGAGAGGAGCAAGAGCGAAAGACAGATGGACAGGCAAATTAGCCGAGAACGGGACAGAAGTGACTCGGTGAGGCCGAGACACGTAGAGAGAGAGCAGGAAAAAGAGAGGGAGAGACAGAGAGAGGTGGAAAGGCAAGTGGAGCGAGAGAGGGAGAGACGGGTCGAGCGAGAAAGACAGCTGGACATGGAAAAGCAGCGAGAGATGGAACGTCGAGCTGAAAAAGAAAAGGAAAGACGGAGAGAAGCGGAAAGGCACAGAAGAGAGCAAGCAAGACGGCTGGAGATGGAGGGAGATATGGAAGAAATAGAAATGGCGAGGCCGGCTGAGAGAGAGCTAGCGCAAGTAAACGGGCCCTGCATCGAAGCAGGCCTGCTCGAGATACACGAAGTGACCGGCGTAACGGAAAATGCCCTGGACGGAGGGGTGGAGAAAGGGAAAAGTGTAGAAGAAGGAAACGATGCAACAGAAGACGATCTGAGCGAAGAGACGGAGAAGAGAAAGTTGGTGCAGAGGAGCAAATCAGAGACAGGGTCTGGAGAAAGAGCAGAACTTGTGGAGACGAGGAAGATAAAATCCGCCTGCATGTCGCCTGACAGCTCCGCCTGTGAGGAGGAGCAAACATCTCCAACGGAGGTAAGTAGAAAAGGCATGAAATGGGTCGATTCCAATAGACTTAAAGGAATAATTCAGAGGAAATGCAAGTGTACACTGTTTCCCCCTTAATCCAAATGTAGTGGATCAGCCGAGACGTTTGGTGTCCAAAGCTTCCTTCTTTAGATTTGAGCTACAAAGCCAATTATAAACAATCATACAAACTGTCATCACACTTGCCTCAAATGAGGTAAAGCATCACTATGTAAGATTTTGCTGTTAAAACTGAAAGAAGCATCATTACTGAGTGAGGAGAGTAAAAACAGGCTAAACCATGGTGAGTCTGCGCTGCTGAGAGTCGCCTGTAAAGCCTGAAATCATCACTTAAAGTCAGAGTTTTTCACACCACGTCGTACGTCTTTACATATTAACGTCACACACAGACTCTGAATGCAGATGAAGCTCCATGGTGGTCAAACCGGTCCAGAAGGCTGGCAAGCAGTGGCATCCAATCAGGGCAGAAGAAGAGCACCAGACCCACAGGATGGGCAGCTGTTTAACTTGGCAAAGAAAAGGACAGTGACTGATCACAGATTACAGGGTTAACAGAGCAGCAGAGACTCCAGCAGGTCTAGATATTACAGCCTCACTAAGAGGGAGAAACCAGAAAGGTAACAGAGTCAGGAGGCTCCCTGAGATGTCGGCGCCCCTCCACTCCACCGCCAGCAAACCTGAGTGAGCGCGTGAGCAGCGGGACGACAGCACCAACACTCCCAGTTTACCATAACACTCCATGACCATGAACCCCAGATCTGCACCTTTTATCTAACAGGGAAAACTAATTACCAAAGGCTCCACTAAACAAGTGGGTTTTATTATCTCCCTCTGTTTCTTTCTTTCTTTCTTTCTGCAAGGAATGCTTTAAGCATGCAAATGGTTCTTTGAGTGTTCATGGTTGAAGAACCTTTGAAGTGTCCACTGATTGGCTACATTAAGGGGGAAATGTGTACATTTTCTCTGAACTTTCGCTTTAAAGCTCCTCCACTCTCACTGTCCTTCAGTACACTTGACTCAGTAAGACCTCAATGGTGAAAGCAGAACAGTGGACATTCAACTTAGGCTGCTTTCAACCATCTGGTCCATCAGGTGAAATGGACCCATGTGTTCACCACTGAAGGAGAGAGTCCAAGGAGATGGAATGTTGGAATACATGCATTGAGGCCCATGTTAACATGCCTGCTCTAAAAAAAAGAGAAAAAAACAATCTGTTTGCATCTTTTTCCTACTAACCACACCTCCACACCTCCACTCCTCTATCACTCTCAGAGCAGAAAGAATAAGCACAGGTTCAGAGGTGGGTAGGAACTGGTTTCATTTAGTCAAGTTCATATTCTTCAGTAATTTATTGATGGATTTGTTCTCTAAAATCGTAATATTTTCTCTTCTACTTGAGTATATTAGTGAGTAAAGGAGTCCACTTTTTACTCAGTTACATTTTACTAACACAGATCAGGCATAACATTCTGACCACCTCCTTGTTTCTACGCTCATTGTCCATTTTATCAGCTCCACTTACTATATAGGTGCACTTTGTAGTTCTACAGTTACAGACTGTAGTCCATCTGTTTCTCTGATACTTTGTTAGCCCCCTTTTACCCTGTTCTTCAGTGGTCAGGACCCCCATGGACCCTCACAGAGCAGGTACTATTTGGGTGGTGGGTCATTCTCAGCACTGCAGTAACACTGATGTGGTGGTGGTGTCTTAGTGTGTGTTGTGCTGGTACGAGTGGATCAGATGCAGCAGTGCTGCTGGAGTTTTTAAACACTGTGTCCACTCACTGTCCACCCTATTAGACACTCCTACCTTGTCGGTCCACCTTGTAGATGTAAAGTCAGAGACGATAGCTCATCTGCTGCTGCACAGTTTGTGTTGGTCATCCTCTAGTCCTTCATCAGTGGTCACAGGACGCTGCCCACAGGACGCTGTCGGCTGGATAATTTTGATTGGTGGACTATTCTCAGTCCAGCAGTGACACTGAGGTGTTTAAAAACACCAGCAGCACTGCTGTGTCTGATCCACTCAGACCAGCGCAACACACACTAACACACCACCACCACGTCAGTGTTACTGCAGTGCTGAGAATGACCCACCACCCAAATAGTACCTGCTCTGTGAGGGTCCATGGGGGTCCTGACCACTGAAGAACAGGGTAAAAGGGGGCTAACAAAGTATCAGAGAAACAGATGGACTACAGTCTGTAACTGTAGAACTACAAAGTGCACCTATATAGTAAGTGGAGCTGATAAAATGGACAATGAGTGTAGAAACAAGGAGGTGGTCAGAATGTTATGCCTGACCGGTGTAATGTTTACTTACTAATTCCTTTATTGTGTCCAGTTTCGTTCTGTACTGCTTTGCGATGCTCACATCTCTGACTTTAGCATTTCATTATAGACTATAAGAATCCCAACAAAGAGAGGAACATGCACTCTTAGAACAGATGGTTCTTCAGTAAAGACAATAGTTCTACATAGAACCTTGAACAAGAACTCAAAGAACCCTATGCATTATTAAAGGGTTCTTCAGACTGGTGGAGAATGTGCTGTAGATGGTTCTGTACAGAGCCTTTTTGAAAAGGGTTCTATAAAGCACCCAAAAGCATTGACATTATAACAATAAAAGAACCCTTTTTGCTGCTGTATAGAACCTTTTTCAAAAAGATTCTGTATAGAACCATATAAAACACACTCTCTATTAATGTGAAGAACACTTAATCATGTAAAGGGTTCTTTGAGTGTTCATGGATCTATATAGAACCATATACAACACATTCTCCATCAATCTGAAGAGCCTTTTAACAATGCAAAGAACTTTTTAATCATGCAAAGGGTTCTGTTTTGAACCATTTTGTTTACTAAAGAACCCTTGAAGAACCATCTTTTTTAAGAGTGTGCAAAACATTTTCTGTCAATCTGAAGAACCATTTCATGATGCAAATGGTTCTCTGATGTTCATGTTTCTATACAGAACCATATACAACACATTCTCCATCAATCTGAAGAACCCTATAACAATGCAAAGAACCCTGTAATCATGCAAAAGGTTCTTTGAGTGTTCATGATTCTGTATAGAACCATTTCGTTTACTAAAGAACCCTTGAAGAACCATCTTTATTTAAGAATGTGCAAAACATTTTCTGTCAATCTGAAAAAACGTTTCATGACACAAAGAACGCTTTAAGCATGCAGGTGGTTCTTTGAGTGTTCAAGGTTCTTTATAGAACCATTGTCTTTACTAAAGAACCCTTGGAGAACCACCTTTTTAAAGAGTGCAGTTCTAACTTCAGTTTCTGATGCTGGCTTTACTAAGAAGTTCCACTGCAGTTCTGTAAGTTACTCAGTACTTAAGTAGCTTTTTGATACTTTTACTGGTATCAGTACTTTTACTGGAGTACTCAGGGCTGATCTACCCACCTCTGTGCATGTTTCTCATCCGTGATGAGGAACAGAGACTAACTCTCCAAACTAACCAGGCCTCAGTAAAGAGCATGACGAGCTGGAGAGCTCAGAGACGCAGAACCGTCCTGAGTCTGCATGTGATGCAGGGCTGAGTGAGAACCTGGCGCATGACTCAGCGTCTACAGCACCGAGGCTCCTCTGGACCTGCTGTCAGAGAACCGCCCTCATCAGGGTCCTGCACTGCCCCCCGCCCCCTCCCCACCCCACCCCCCCGCCCCGCCTCTCAGCACTGCTCGTCTTTATCTTCCCTCTTTGTCTTCTGTCCATCATGTTAACGTTCAGTCTCCATCTGTCAACTGTGCTGCTGTTCTCTTTTCCCCTCTCTGTCTTCCTCGCTCCTTTCTTTCTTCCATTCTCTTCTTCTGCGTCACCTCTGGGAATTTCATTTCCCGCTCTTTCCTTTTCTCTCTTTCTTTCTTTTCTCTTTCTACGTTGCTGATACATTCTTTCTCTCCACTCTCTCTCTTCCTCCCCCCCTCTCTCTGTCTCTCTTTCACTTTCACTCTTTTTGTCTCTCATCAATCTATTTCTTTCTTTCTTTCTTTCTCCTCTCTTTCTATCACTCTCTGATCCACTCTTTTTCTGCACTCTCTTTCATGCTGTTTGTCTCTTCTTGATATATTTTCTTCCTTCTTTTTTCTTTCTCATTATCTTTTTTCTTTCTTTCTTTCTTTCTTTCTTTCTTTCTTTCTTTCTTTCTCGTTCCTTCTTTTTCTTTCTCATTCTATCTTCCACCCCTGATCCATTCTTTCTCCACACTCTCTCTCTTTCTGTCTTTCTTTTTGTCTCTCATCCATCTATTTTCTTTCTCCTTCTCTTTGTCTTTCTCTTTATCTTTTACCCTCTGATCCATTCTTTCTCTGCACTCTCTCCTTGCTGCCTCTCTTATTCTTTCTTTTTGTCACTCGTCCATCTATTTCCTTTTTCCTTCTTTCTCTTTTTCTTCCTCTTTCTGTCTTTCACCTTTTGATCCATTTTTTCACTATACTCTCTCTTTCCCTACCTCTCTATTTCTCACTCTTTCTCTTTCATCTTTTTTGTCTTCTGTCAAACTGTTGTCTCCTGTCTCTGTCTCTTGCTTCTCTCTCTCTCTCTCTCTCTCTCTCTCTCTCTCTCTCTCTCTCTCCCCCCCCTCCCCCTCCACTCTGTTGGTTCAGCAGGGTGTTAGTGATCACGCTCTTCAGCAGAAGCTTCAGTTGCTCTCGTCTCTCTTACAGCAGGTGAGACACTCAGGCTGGAACAAGAGAGCCGATTAAATCTGCATTTAGCAGGCAAATCTGACTCAGAGAGGAACACAGGAAAGAGAAATGTAATCCTGTTTGTAATCAACCTCTTTTTTTTTACAGACTACAGTTTGCCTTTTTGTGTATGTGTCATCATTACGCAACAACATTAGGCTGAAAAATGCTGGAGTCCTTCTTTAACATCCTCAGTGCCTCCACTGCTGTTGTTTTAGCTGCTCCTGATTGAAGCCTTTAATCATTCAGAGTGAAGGTGCAGTGGGCATTTCTGCCCTTTCTTTG